ACACACACACACACACACACACACACACACACACACACACACACACACACACACACACCCCTTAACACAGCAAATGAAGGATTTTAAATGTCAGCCACATCAGACTGTATTTTTCCCCATTTTGTGCTGTTACTTGTTTACATCTTAGCATATAAATATATTTTTGCATGTGCCAGTGAGAGGACGTGTGTGTTAGGTTTCTGTTCAATGTGATCCATTTTTACCATAAGTCAAAAAATGAAGTGGAATCTCTGCTGCTGGCAAATTTATTCAATAAACTGCACAGTTCAATACTTAGTTAAATATGTGATTAATGTKGAACAGCATGTCGGGTTTGTCTCAGTGTTTATATTGAACTTTTGGTTGCTACTTTATATAGGATAAAAAGAAATAAAGTTTGCACTGTTTTCAAGAGCTAGGTTTAAGTAGTTTTATAGTATTCCTTTTAATGAATCTTATTTTATTTATCTTTTTTAATTTAACCTTTATTTCACCAGGCAAAACATTAAGAACAGTTTATTATTTATCTTATCTTATTTAATAATCTCATCATCTTCATGGATGCATACTGTATGTGTGTATTTGTTACAGGAGAGACATTACCACTAGCAACTTCCAATCAGATCATGCTTCGGTTCAGTGCTAAGAGTGGCCAATCAGCTAAAGGCTTTCATTTTGTCTATCAAGGTAAYGTACACCAAACTTGCTGATGTATTGCTCTTTATTTCACATACTTTGGYGTACACACAAAGGTTCATACTCAAATAAAGACAAGTGTGAACATGTCTGCTGTGCAGTTTCATTTTTTTCTTTTTTCTCCTGCTTCTCATAATAATAATAATTTCATTACTTTCATGGCTGCAGCTGTGCCTCGGACCAGCGACAGTCAGTGCAGTTCAGTGCCAGAACCTCGGTATGGCAGACGGATTGGTTCAGAGTTCTCAGCGGGCTCCGTTGTTCGTTTTGAGTGCAGTCCAGGCTATTTGTTGAAAGGATCCAGTGCGATTCAATGCCAGGCCATACCAGGTGCCCTGGCACAGTGGAATGCAACAACACCAACCTGTATAGGTACGGCAGACAAACATGRAGAAAAGAATAAATAAATGAAGAATAAATGCAGGTCTACAATAAAGTGGCAAATGATTTTTACAGCAAGATTCGGTCTGCAAATGGCTCATTTATAAAAATGTTAAAAACTTTTTCACAGTTGAATCATAGCATAATATACTGATTCACAAACCAAGAGTGTTAGTGGACTGCTGTCTGGTTGTAAAACCTTTTGWGTAGCCTGGTTGGTTAGAAGGGTGCCATATGCATTCTAGTTAATCCTAAATAGGCATACACTGTTACTCCAGGCTTTATTTAACTTTGTCCTACTTYTTAATGAGTTGATGTAAAAAGAAATTACCGTAAAAAAATAACACAGTTTTGTGTTTTTACTATTTTAGCTTTTGGCATTATATAAACACATCAAATTAACACTGAGATAATCTGTAAAACACCACACTCAGGTTTACATTTCCTTGTTTTGTGTATTAGACTGCCTAGGTTAATTTCAWTTTGCTCAGAATTTCAGTCATCAGTGCTGTCCACACAAACCCCAAGCACAAACGTAACCAGGAAAATAAAAATAACCTTAAGCAATCAGACTTCCTGGGTAATCGTTCTGTGATAAGTGATTGGAGTTTCAGAGTTTTGATGTTTTTTTTCCAACAACAATTATTATTTGCTSGCATGAAATTTCCTACTGCTGAAAGCTAGCATTTTGCTAACAACTTWGACTGTCACATCAATTTGTACCGCAAATAGCATTTGTTCTCTGTAGTTCCCTGAAGAGGTGAAATGAACACCATATTGTTTGTCTCTGGGCTCTCTAGGCTAAATTCTGACATCCGGTCCTAACTGCTAGCAATTTAGTTAATACATTATTCTTGGAAATTTATATTTGATGTCTTCGTTCTAGTTCCCTGCAGTGGCAATTTGACTGAACGTCGTGGTACGATATTGTCTCCTGGCTACCCTGAACCTTACCCAAATGCTCTAAACTGTCTGTGGAGGATTCATGTCAGTGAAGGGGCTGGAATACAGGTACACAGTTGTATACACATGTGTACAGTTAGCTGTATTGTGTTAATGTGCATATACTGACAATGAACAAAGCTTTTGAACTTGAAAGCTTCATTGCTGAATTGGGTTTATTTGCTTCTTTATTGTTCAGATCCAAGTCATGACATTTGCAACTGAACACAACTGGGACTCTCTAGAGATTTATGATGGAGGAGACATGACAGCTCCAAAACTTGGATCCTTCTCTGGTAAGACATGCCCAGGCATTTCTAGAGACACATGCATGGATAGCGCGCGCACACACACACACACACACACACACACACACACACACACACACACACACACACACACACACACACACAC